AGTTGACAAGTAGTAAAAGATTTCTCGATCTGTGCACATGTAGAGTTTTTCTCCTGGATAGACTCTGTGGTGGCTTTGAAGTTGTGAGCACTATGTAATGTATTTGACACATTCTTCACATTTATAAATTTTCTCTCCAGGATTGATTTTTTTAATGATCTTTAATAATGGAGAACTAAGCAGGCAAAGCTTTTGTCACATGCTGTACATCAGCATGGTTTCTACCCACTGTGGAGCCTCTTAAGTGTCTTGAGTGTGAAGGATCTCCAGAAGCATTTCCAAGATTTCTAGTGTTTTTATTTGTCAAAAAGGAATTGTGGATTCCCAATAACATTTTTTTTAAGATAGGTCAAAATCTGTTTCTGTATTATGATGCAGATATTTATCTTCATTATGTCATGAATCATTTGAATGATAGTTACATAGAAATTTAAGGATTAACTTTATCTAATGTTTTGAATCCCACTTTAAAATGGGTGACTTTATTGAGTCTTTGCTGTACTTACTGTAGTCCAATGATATTTGTCAGAATCACTGTAGTTCTAATACGATTACATTCACTACAATTTCAAGACTCATTTAAAATTTCTTTCTGACTGTTTCTTTAAACCTCTCAGGTATGCTCCTGCTAGAGAAAAGAAGACCATTAACATTGCTCAGGCATATTCTGAAATTTTATCTTGTTATAATGATTTCTGAGTAGCAATTTAGTTAAGATTCATAAGTTCAAGAGGCAAAACAGAGTTTTTAAATTTCATTATTTACTGTGAAATTGATATAATCTATATTGCAAATAGTGTCTTAAAAAGAATCATATAATGCACCTAAGAGCATTCTGACACTTGGCACAGTTTCTACCAAAGGAAAACTTCTGTACAGAAGGCTTCCATATCAAGGAAGCTAGAATGTGCTATGTCTTAAACATTTTGTAGTTGTACTGAAGCCTTTTCTGAGACACAAATACATTTTGAATAAGAGCTATGTGGATCTTGGCACATAGAGGACATTGTTCTGTAAAACTTCCATTTCCACTTCAAGTACATGGGGGATGTTCTGTTGCTTAAGCATGAAGGCTCCTATGTTCCCATTAATTTTTACAGGTGGTTCCATGGATACATTCACCACAGTTTTCTTCTAAGCAAAATATTCTATCTCCTTATCGACATGGTTTATTGATTATATAGTATCTTCTTGTGCCATTGGCTACAGTAAATGTTCAGCACTGAGGCAGAGTGTGGTGACTTACAGAATTAATCCTCCCAACATGAGGCAGTGGAAGGAGGGCATCTGTCAATTTGAGGCCAGACTGATCTGGATAAATCACCTCTCCTGATTATTTTCTTTTTCTTGTCTATTGGTTTAAGGGCATTTGATGCCTTAAGTGACCAGGGCAAAAATCTGAGTTTCTAGTTCAATGGAATGTTTGTGGCTCCTGGTAGGAGCACTCCCCCCTCTAGAACCAAAACTCCTAGGCCAGCAGAATTTAGAGTAGTGAGAACAGGAAGCACAACCTTTCCTATTCTGTCACTAGGGGTGACATTGAGTGGAGTTTTCCCGTTTCCACCCCTGATTCCTGTACCCATGGATTCTGGTTATAGCAGAAACTGTACCATATATTGGACACTGATTCAGAGCACATACTGCCTTCTGGAGAACCTTGCCCCAGCCCTCAAATGTTGTCAACTATTGATGCTGCAACAATGTCTATAGA